TAATTAAATGGAATAATTCTAATAACATGTTAATTTGTGTCATTTTTAAATGTACTTTTAAAGGCAAATTCAAAAATTAGTTAAACTTATGAAGACTAACATAAAAAAGAATATGATATTTTCAACTATAAAAAATTAGAACAGAGAATATGCGGTATAATTTACACATATATATTTTTTTTCGACTAATTATTGTTATATTAAACTTTAATTAAAACCAAATAATGCTAATAGTCTGCATAATTTGTCAGGTGATATGGTTTATTTTTTATTAGATAAAATATACTAAAAACAATTAGCAATTTTTCAGAAATTTCCGAAATGATTTTATTTATTTCAAAGAGAATTTTTAAAATGTATTATATATTCACAAATAAATTAAATTATTTTAATATCTTTCTATTAAATTTCTGATCTATTATACATTAATACACTTCTAAAATATTTATGAAAGAATGTGACTAGGTATATTAGACAAGGCAAAAAACGAATTTTTTCCAGAGTCATCCTGGTCGACACAAAGCTGTACAAATTTCGTTCCTATTCTATGACCCTATGATGAGAGAACTCAAAGAACATGTGGTAAACCAAGTTCACTAAAACGTCTTTAATAAGATGGTAAAGTGTTCAAAATTTATTTCAAAAAAGATTTATTGTACACTTTTATAGCGCTATATTTATCATACTTTGCAAAAACGATGTATTTTTTAAAAGTTTAATGAGTAATATAAATGTTCACAAAAAATAATAGAATTCCTAACTGTTGATGGATGCAAAAATTTGTCATATAACTCATTTATTAGTATAGAAATATATATTTGTATAGTTTATCTGAAGACAGTCAAAACTACAGGGAGAAGTAAAAACATTGGGATATTAATATGAAATTAATGAGAAATTAATATCCAATTTGAAAGATAAAAGTACATTTATATAGCAGTCTAGACTAGAAGCATATGTCCACTTAAACGCCTTCAGTCATACCAATTTCAAGCACTCAAAAGAGTCGTGAGAATACTATGACACATCAGGTCGATAGAGTTATATAGAGATTTCCGTATAGAAAATTTAGTTATAAACATAGCGACAAGACGTTGTAACTTTTAACATAATTAATTTGCATTCAAACACTACTCACTAAATATGCAGTTATGCGGTTCTGATATCATAGTGCTGAATCATAGATTTATGATAAATATGAACAAAATCTGTGAAACGATTTTATTTAGAAATTCATGTAGTAGGTATTTTTCAATTTATTTTATTATTTCTACATGAATATACTTAAATAATTTGTAATATGAATTTGTAAATAATAATAGTTATTGATTTTGAATTAGTTAATTATATTGAATAAAAACATTTCCAATGAATGATATAAATAATACTAACAATCCAAACATATCGACAGTTATGGAGACCCTTTTAAACCACTTCGTATCCTTCAGCGTGTAAACTACTTCTTTAAGTTCTTATGAACTTAAGCAATTCCTTACATGAATTAAAACAAAAGTAAATAAAAATATATAATGTGACACAGTTATTACAGTAAGAAAAATATATATGCTCATTTCAGTATAAATTATTAAAAATAACTATGTATTTTAGCTACATGCATGAGCTGAAAATATTCCTAATTAAAAAAAGTGCTATCAAACGAATCAAAACCTTTATATTTAAACAATTTTTTTATTTTATCTTATTCATATATATAAATTGATTTTTAATTATTTCATTTATAATATTTATTTAAATTTTATATAAAAAATGTGCGATAGTATTACTCCTAACTGGGGATATTTGTTATTCTTATAATTACCAAACAAAAAGTAAACATAAATAATTAAATATTGTAAAAAAAAACATTTATTACTAAAAAAAATTTTTGACCTCAAAAGTTTGTACTTAATATTCGAGTATATTACTGGTATTTTGGGTCTAGGTTCATTAACTCTTAATAGCAAGATATGAAACTTTCATTTTAAAAGGTTTTTACTCATAAACTTTTTGACTTTATTCGGCAGCTATTATCAAAGGTGAGATAAAATATAATTAAAATGTTATATTATATAAATATTATGTAAACATGGTAGATATAAAAAATGAAATGAGAAATATAAATTATAAATTTCATTATCTATGATACTTTTGTTTATCTGTTCAACAAATTGATATATTTTTGAATAGATTTATAAAGTCATTTTAAATATATTAATTCATGGGTTTACAATACAGTTCAGTTAAGTAATATTATATATTAAAAATGGAAAACTAAATTTTTATTTAATGTTATTGTTATTGGATAGAATTTTCTTTGATATATTATGTCTCGGTAAGTGCTAAAAATGTATGCCTTTACAATTGCTTGAATCAAGAAATCACCTTCTAAGGTTAAGGCATTTTAAATTGAAACACTTATGAAACAATATTATAGCTCTCTAACAAAAAAAATATCTGAAGTTTAAAAAAATGCACATTAATGATTAAATAAGTTATTAAAAAATATAAATTTTTTATTAATTTTGTTATATTTTCTTTTAGAATTTATTTTTTTTGACTAGAAAAATTTATAAATTGTCTAGAACACAAATTTTTTATAACAAAATTTAAATAGATAATACTAGCTTCAAGATCAAGAAAGAATCAAGAAATCACCTTCTAAGGGCCTTAACCTTAAATTTTAAATTGAAACACTTATGAAACAATATTATAGTTCTCTAACAAAAAAAATATCTGAATTTTAAATAAATGCACATTAATGATTAAATAAGTTATTAAAAAATATAAATTTTTTATTAATTTTGTTATATTTTCTTTTAGAACTTATTTTTTTTGACTAGAAAAATTTATAAATTGTCTAGAACACAAATTTTTTATAACAAAATTTAAATAGAAAATACTAGCTTAATTCTAATTTTAGGTATGTTACTATTTCCATTCTAATAGAGAAAGACTTAATATATTAATTATGTTGAAAATGGTTTATTTAAATTTAAGCTACGATGAGTTAAATTTCCAAAATTTTTTCCCAACATTTAGAAAAACAAGGAAAAATTTGGTTTTGGTTTTATTGAAATTTCAATAATTTACTTCAATAATATCAATTACTTTTACAATAATTAATTTTTTTCTTCTTATTTACTTAATTTTATTAGTAATATAATAATTTTCATATAATTATATAAGCCTAAAAGCTAACAGGAATACTAAGAAGAAATAGAAATAACTAAGAAATAAATAGCCAAATGAAGTGCATATGTTAAATAATAACAATATATTTAAGACTAACAATCAAATAGACACACATCACCGAGTTAATTTATTTTATAATTAAGAATATATATAATTTACTTATGTAGGAGTTCATGCGACGCAAAGGGTAATTGTTCAAGGAGACACTTGGATATAAGTCTTTTATTCATAAAAGGATAAAGGATCATTCCATTGAATAACTTTATTCAAAACTAATAATATGAGCAGGTTAAGTTAACCTAGTAAAAATTATATATTAACTATGATTCAGTACCCAAATAAATAAATATATATATATACATATATGTGTATGTTATTAATTCCTATCTGCAATATTTGAGGTGTTTGAAATTACAGTTGGCAGTTTAATACTATAATATACTTTTGATCAAATTCTTTTCAATGGAAATTTTCGCCTTCCAATGAATGCTAGAAAGATTTAAGGTGAGCATAACAGAAAAATTGGAAAATTTGTTTTATATAGTCTCCGATTTAGTTAGTTATAATTGTCTCACTAAAATAACTCTATATTTGCCATACTACGAAGATTGAAACAAGTCTATTCATAAATTAAATTCAGATGAAGAGTAGCAGTTTTTTTTTGTTTACAATTCAATTTTATATAAGTAATTTAAATATTGTTTTATAATACACTGACTTTCTAATGCTTATATACAATATAAATAAGAATTTTTGGCAGTGAAACTGTATCAATAATATAAATTTAAGTTAAACAATTATTAAAATTGAATAAAATTAATTTACTAGAATAAACGTAGACTTAATAAAAATTGCGCTTTTTAAAATTTGGTGAGGAAAAATAATATTAAAATCTTCAAATCATGGCATTTAATAAATGCTTTAAGTTCCTCTCACTTGGTATTGAACAATTATTCTTCATTAATTATTTAAGTTTTTATGAAACTAAACTCTTCTAATAATTACTTGTAATTAATGTGTAATAAAAACAAGTCATTGTTTACATTAACAAGTGATATCTATTATAAACTAAATATAAATTTGTAGTTAATAGCTTTGCTTTTTTACTAATACATATCAAATAACTATTGATTGTCAATATTAAATATTAACTTATTTCAATTAATCAGTTTAGCTGCATTTGCCTAACTGGTATTTTATTTGTCGGACTAATGCAATTTCACGTTTAGATATTTTTTATTTTTCAATAAAATTGAATTACCATACAAAAGTAATAAATTTAGTAAATCATATGAATGAAATAGTAATTGCACAGTTTTAAAAGGGGCTTTTTTTCAAACAAAAGCAAATAAATTGTCTATTATAGAATAAAGAAAAATCATATTATTGAGTGAGACAATATTTAAGGAAATTTTTATAAATTGAAATGAATATATTTTTTAAAGAAATCTAGTTTTTATGAGTGGATAAAATGTCACATAAAATGTCACGCAAGTGGTTTAATTATCTCAGTTCACACACCATTTGAATAAATGCGGAAATAAATAACAAATGAATTCAATAATATCAATAAAAGTTGTATTCGAATCAAATAAGAAAATGTTCTTAAGCAGAATAATTACTAGAACTGGTCTTATGACATTCTTAACATAATTTACATGGCGTATTTTCTAAGGTAAACTACTTCCTTCAACATCTTTACTTATTGTATAAATAAAGAATTTTCTGCTAATTCAAAAAGAATGAAGTCTAATGAATTAAAGTGTTCGTTTTTTCTAGTTTTTGCACAGTTTCTTAATCATACATACCTCCATAGTCCTCTTCGACCAATTGATAGTATCTTTGTATTAATCCAGTATAGTTTCTTGTGATATGATGCGTTTTGAATTCATCAAATGCAATATTGACAATCTCAGCAGCCATATCAAAACGTGAAGTAATATTGCTATTCATTTTGTTTTACTTGTTTTTATTTTTTGTGTGAAATTATAATAAAAATACGTTGCGTTATATTTGAATACGAAACACTTTTTTTATATATGTATTTATTTAAAACCACTAAGGAAACATACAAAATTTCCTTTTAATTGATATTTTTAATTTTAATTGATAATTTTTTAATAATTATATTTGAAACCGTTCTCAGGCAGTGCTATATAAGCATTTTACTGAAAATTCACAAATTTCTAACACAAAAAACCGTTTCTTCTTCAATTTAAAATCGAAACAAACGTTTTTTTTAAATATTTTCGTTTTAAGTATCAACTAAATCAATTAAAATTGATTTTATAATAATCTTACACCCTCTGTTCTTAATAACCGTAAAGAAAATTTAGTCTAATATATATAATATTTAATTGAACCGCGCCATACGATAGTTTATGCTCAACTGAATGCAAAACTTCTCGGTGTTCACAAGATAAAATAAAATTTTGCGCTGCGCTCAAGACTTACTTTACAAAAACAAAGCAAACAACGACTAAAATATTAACTTGCAAAAGACTCAAACAACATTTCGAGCAACAATAACAAACACTAACAACACAAACAACACCAACGACTGACAAAGCTGAGCGCAGCATACAACACCAACAACAACACACTAATAAAGCGCTAGTGGCAACACACATTAATATGTGCGTTCAATATATTTTTCAATAATTTTTTTTGTTGTTTCGGAAGTCGAGGCGACATCTTAAGCTTAATATGAGCTTTGATATAGAAGCTTTACACTCACGTCATTTGTATAAGTGTGAGTATTTGTGGTAACCAATACAAACAAGATATTCACACATTTGAGTTGGTAAATAAATCAACAATGAATCCCTTTTAAATGGCTTTTCGCAGTGAATTCATCAAAGCTTCGCAAAAATACAACAACGGCTCACGAAGGTGGTTGGTTTTTATTTGTATTAGTGTTGTTGATTTACTCGCAAGTACTTGTTGACTTAGTTGTTGGTGTGACTGATAACTTAGTGGCTTAATTTAATCTTTTCAAAGTTTAAAGTGAAACACGTTTTGTTTATTATTTATACCGGATGTAAAATTCGTACGTAATTTGTTTGTACAATGTTTCTAAAACGGAAATCTATTTACTACAGTTTAAAAAGAATTATTTTTGTACACTTTATCTTTAACATAAAATAGATAAGCGGTCATTTGAAATTTCGTTAATTTATGTTTGCAAACTTAAATTATTTAATATTTTTAACACATTTTTGTTTTTAATGATTAGATTATGTTATATTAAATGGCTATAAAATCTCCTTTTCAGGGCTCCACGTACTTGCTAAAATTATTTAGACGCTTGCATTAATTAACTGCAATTATATCATCATAATTGTATAAATTTAAATAATATTTATTGCTGATTTAAATATTTTAATAATAACACTTATATCTGAGAAAATTCAAAAAAATTGTAAATAATTTGAAAAATTACTTCTTATTACTAGTAAAAATGTAACTCTTTCAAATATATAGTACATATTTAATTTGATTTGTATATACTAAAAGCAGCAATGACTAAATAATGTGTGTATACAAAACTTTAATACCTTAATGTTACTGAAAAAAAAGCTAGCAAATGTTGTAGGTTAGGTTAGATCCTTAAAATTTAGTTAGACTTATTAGTCCTTGTATTATCGTATAATGAAAACTCAAAAGTTTAAAAACCCACCTGAACCTTGAAATGCTTTTTAGAAAGATTTGCTGAAGTTACCCTTTACCTCAAAAAGAAAGCCCTTAAAATAGTAAAATCGCGCTATAGTAAACTCTTTTGCTGGGCAGTTACAAAGCAGATGTGAGGTACTTTCATAGTCCTCTGAACTAACATACCACAAGACTCAACAAAAGTTTGCATGACACCAACGATATGTACTGATTATTTAAATGTTCTGAGTGATTACCTGAAGCAGTCCGACTGATGATAAAGTAACGAAATCTTAAACTACTTCAAATTCTCGTGTTGCAATCAAAAACTGTTCGATGTAAATTGAACTGATCTCAAGATCTTTAAAGCAGCATGACTGCGTGATGTTTCTATTAAATATATCTATTAAATATATTTATATATCCACTTCCAGATAAGGTATAGCTTACCTAATAGCGATCACTTTAGGCTGAAAAACAACCCAATGATCAAGAAGCCTATAATAATAATATTGAATAATATAGATTTATGTAATATATTGTATATTATTATTAAAAAAATCTCAATAGGTTTATTACTTTAATAATTGCAATATTGTAATTAAATATAAGCAAGATATAGTAGCCAAATATACATTTAATATATTAATTTCGAAAATGGTTCTTAAACCACTTCAATAATGCTTCGATAATTATATAAGATCATAAATATTGGATTTATTAATAAAATATGTATGTTAATGTGAGTTGAAACTTATGTGTTATAAGTTAAACTGAAAAAAAAACACGAATAAATTCTAGAGACTAACACAAAGGAACACAAAGTTAGTATATTACTATTTCAGTGTCCTTACTCTTATGAGAAAAAGTAACAAAGTGTAAACGTTAAGATGATTTTAAGTTGCGCAAATATCTTCACTTGGATACTTCCTTGAAGTTATTGTCAAAAAGTAGTCATGGTTGTGATCACTTAAATAAATAGGAATTTCTCTTATTAATGTTATAATTAATAGTATTATTTATATAATATTATTTACAATTATTTATATATTTATTAATGTTAAATATTAATAACAGTAAAATATTATTTTTAGCTACTTAAGTATCTTAAAGCTTCACCTTAGTGCAATAAGGTTGATCAATTTTAATATATCTTCCGGATAATCATCAATAGAAATATTTATTAATTATAGTTCGCTTTACCGATAATATTACAAACAACCGTGTAATTAGCAAATGAAAAGTCTAAACTAAATTAAATAATTTATAAGTACCTTCAATGGAATTGGGTTTTAATATTCTTTTAATTATATCAGCAATTAAATATAGTTTTGCAACAATAATTAACAAACTTTCTGATAATTTTTTTGACGTAGGTAAATGTTTTTAATCACATGTTCCTTCATAGTTTTTGACATTTTTAAGTAGTTTTAGTTTCTTAATGCATTTAAATATAATTTGTTTGTTTTTTTATATCCAAAGTTCAAAATATTTTGAACTTTAAGTTAACAAGCAAATAACACAAATTAGTACAGTAAATGAGCTTAGATCTTGTAATGAAAATAAGCGGTAAAATTATAATTAGCAACTTAGTAAATAACTTTCAGATATATTAACTATAGATAACGTATATTCATTCAATAAAATTTTGTAATTAGGGTAAAATTACAGAGCAAATTTCATTTAAACAGGAGAGGAGTTACGGATTTTAAAATCGGAAATTCTTATTAAAGTATGCACGGAAAACAACTTATAATAATTTATTTTGAAGGAAAATTTTTATATTTTAAAAAGTATTTAATATAGTGTTCTTACAGGGTAATTGATCAATTTTTAATTATTATTAAACAGGAAACTGTTTTTTGTTGACGACTTTATACTAAAGTCAAAATATGAAAAACAAATAAAAATTATTATTAAATAATTAAAGTTGTTTTTTCTTAATTTTTATTTTTAACAATAATAACAAATTACCCTGTAACAACATATTATTTAAAAATTATTTGTTTATAAAAGAATAAATATATAGAAAAAATAGAAAACGAAGCTAAGAGATTTTCTTTTTAATATTTCATTGTGATTTCTAACTATTCGGTTAGTTTATTTAAAGCGAATGTTTCTATATAATGAATATAGTTTTACCAATTATTATACACCATCATCTGAAACATTTTTGGAACTTTACTCACAGAACGAAATATATTGACATGAAAATATATCTAGATTGATTTGGAGGGTAGAACAATAGTTATTTATATAGAGTATTGATTGAGACAGTATAACTCGCTCTTTGAATATCACAACCTTTGTTATCAACTAAGAAGAAATAAAAGCAGTCCAGAATGTTGAAATCAAAGATTGCAACGAGATATTGCACATCACTGAAGAATGTCGACCATTCCAAAGGCTTTCATTCTGGAAGTGATCAATAGTCCAAAAGAGCCTTTTCCCAAAGCCGACTCCTCGCCTCAAATTGTTGAAGATTATAGAAAGATTTATAAAATGACTTTTTGTTTAATCGAAAAGATTGAGAAGTCGCAAAGAGTTTATAACCTAAGTTATACAGAAATATAATGAAAAATCGTTTGGGCTGCAACAATTGAGGTTATATCGGGTACGATCTGTGATGGCAGATATTCATTCAACGTACATATTAACAGAAATTTTTTTTTAGAAAAGTTAGAACTTTAATTACTTCCGTTCTTATTACTAATTTTT